ATATATTTTCTTTAAAATTTTCACCTCATTTTTTATTATTTAATCACATTTTCCTCCACCACTCTGGTTGCAGTCTGCAGGTGTCCTGCATGTGTGGGGTTGGTCTACCTGAACAGTGCAGCTCCACTCAACTTTCTAACTAACTAACCAAACATTGCTGATTAAAAGTTCATTTCCACCTGCTGCTCTGCTGATTTCAGAGAAGAACAAAGCACCAACATGTTGGTTTACCTCCTCCTGCTTCCTGAACTCCACCTCCATCTGCTTGTTCCTCGGCTGGTTCTTCCCGATGCTGTGGCCGGTGATGAAGTTGCTGCTGATGTAAGCCAGCTCCGGGTCCTGCTTCCCAGCCTCTTTGATTAGACTACAAACGCACAGAGTTAAACGTTGGCCCTCAACCAGTTTCACAGCAAAAGAAAAATGTCAATTTATCTTTAGTATTCTGAAATTTTTAAAAAAAGGGGAATATTCTCCAGATTTTTCATCAACTATTTTAGCCTTTTTTAAAACATTAGAAATACAAATATGCAAACAAACAATTCGATTGCTCATTTAAATAAAAAAATAAATAAATTTTATCAATTATTCATTTCAGTCTCAGCGAGAGCCGTTCAGCTGATGACATAAACCCACAGAGCCTCATTTAGTAGATGAAAAAGCAAATGAAGAGAGCCATTGATGAAGACCATCAAAAGATTAAAAGTCTGGGTCATCGTACCGGTTCAGAACCACCGCTGTGTAGCGCCGCTCCACGAAGATAATCCCACACAGGATGTTGGTGAACGGGGAGGGAAAGTTGGCCTCTGGCCTCTCTTTGGCCTCCACCTCCTCGTCCTCGTCTTCATCCTCCGAGTCGCTCCATGACACGTAATTGTCCTGGTTGCGGTTGTTGTACCACTCCACACTCTCAAACTGCTGGCGCTCCAGCGGCTTGTACTCGTGCAGGATCTCAAGCAAGCGCAGCACCTTCGGCGTGACGAACTTGAGGTCCAGGGAGGCGGGGGAGAAGTGCTCCTCGCACAGAGCGTGCACCTTCCGCAGGATGGTGTCGGTGAAGAGCAGGAACTTCCTGTTGAGCTCCTCCTGTTCGTGCTTGATGTACTTCTGCAGCTCTCGCACCATGATACCTGCAGCCTTGTCTGCACACCAAGGACCCAGAACCAGCAGCACGGCCCGGCAGTCGCTCAGGATCTGCAGAGAAATGGTCAGTTTATACAAAAGGAACCAGAAAAAAAAAATACAAAGTAGTACTGCGATATACAATTATTTTAATAATCGATTATTCTGACAATTAATTGATTAATCGAATAAAAAAAGGCACATTCTGCACATTTTTTTATTTAACCACTTAACTCTATTATTTATATAATATTAGAGGTGCAAAAAACTAATTTAAATAAGTAAATGTACATTTTATTGCCTAAATGCAATGACAGTGTTCTTTTAGTGCATGCATGATGATCACTTATAGCAAGGAATACATCTGCAGCAAAAAAAATATCATGTGAGAAGCTCGGATTGTTCTGTTTGCACTTAGCATCAGTACAGTTTAGGGCTGATCTGATTATTATTTCTTGATATTTGATTAATAATTGGATAGCAAAGGGAGCTTAATAGGAGATATTTTCGTTTAGAAAACCAGGTGAAGCCACAAGTTCTGTGCAGAAAACATTTACAAACAGATTTTCTATCTTAAATGCATAATATTTTGTGCAGTTTTGTCATAGTTATTGCTCTAAATATGTCCTTCCACAATTTGACTTTTTTGATTCTCTACACTCCAGTTAACGATTAATAGACAATTATTAAATTAGTTGACAGTTATTTCAATAATACATTCATCACAATTAATCCGATCATTTGTCCAAGAACTATAAAAAGCTGCTCGTTTCTCACTGCTTTCTGAACCAGAACTAGTATCAGAAACGTCTTTGGTCCGACTCGGACCTGTTTGGAGATGAACGTTGGATCTCTGTCCTCTCTGGAAAATGGGATGTTGCAGTCGTTGAGGAAGAGGAGAGCTTCATCCAGCTCCGCCTGCAAACGGGATGAAAGGCCGCTCCTGTCCACATAGGGACCGCAGTCCAGCACCACTTCCCTCGGCTGAGACGTGTACCTGCAACATGCAGCGAATGTTAGGCTTTTAAAGATTTGGCTGCCATTTCTGATTGAGCCTGGAGCGTTCAGTAAAACTAAACCTCAGTTCTGACGAGGCCCAATCCCACTCAGCAAAACTGCTCAGTGAATGTAATTCCCACCTGTCGAGGACCACCAGGTCAGTCGCCGTTTCAGCGTTGCTTTTCAGGATTCTCTCTAGATTCTGGATCTTCTGCTCCAGTTCGGATGGGTCACACTTCCCATTGAGGATGGAAGCGGTGAGGCCCAGTATTCGTGGTCCACTAGTGCATTCTTCAAACAGCTGCACACACCCAGAAAGAACAACCATGTTGGCACAGATTTCCTGCGTGTTCGGCTAAACTTACTGGGAGAAGCCTCGCCTTCATGATGTCACAGTACGGGTGCTCTGTGATCGCCAGGTGACAATCATCGAACACCACCAGGTTGATTTTAGACAGAGGTAAGATCCGACTCTTCAGAACATGAAGGAAGATGTGGCACGTCATCACCAGCACCTGAGGAAGGAGAAAAATGATCAGAGGACAGAATCTGAGCCGTAAGAACGGAAACAGCTTTCCAGCCCAGGCAGGAAAGGAATAATAGTAACACAACAATGGATGGGAGATAAATTGTTTTTATCGATTAATCAAATTCTTAGTTTTTGAAGATTTAACTTTTGGAAAATCTGGAGTTTTTCCTCCATAGTTCAGAGTGATGTCAGCACATCCAGAGCTGCCATTTTGTTAGGCAAACATGTTTTACAGCTTCTGTTTATTTGGACTTTGAATTCTGGTCGACTATGACAGACTATTAGGGCCAGGATACGATTTTTATTTTTAATTATGAGAATAAAGTTAAAATAATACAAGAATGAAGCTGTAATATAACACAAAGTTCGTTTAGAGAACTCGAACACACAAAAAAAAAATTCCAAAGATTTGTTGAGCATCTTATGAAGTTATATTTTGGTATAAATTTTACACGAATACTTCATCGGCATCACATTATTATCAAAAGGAGGACTTTGAAAAAAAATTGTGTAAACAACTGAGTCCACTTTGAAAAAAGAACCACATGAACACAGGTGCTCACATCAGATCCTGATCATTTTATTGAATCTTTCCTCTCATTAACTCAACTTTGCATTGATTTAAATATGTTTTTTCTGGTAAAACGTCACATTTATTCAGCTAATTTTATGAATATAATAAAAATTGTCAGAGGTCCCAATACTCCATTCTAAAACTCACAGAAGACTGAAATAAAAGCCACTTTTAAAATATTTTTTGTCATTTCTTTTATTAGAAAAGAGCATGAAATGTTTTTAATTAAAATTGGAAATCAGATCTGGTGTGAAAAGTTTAAAGTCATATCACTCAGCCCTGAATATGTCTGATGATTTTTTACAACAGCCCACTGTGAAAACATCTTGGCGTTGGTATTCCTGCAGTAAAAGACAAACACCTGATTTGTGGAAATCTCCTGACTCCATTTCTGATCCGACCAAGCTGACGCCTCCTTCCAGTCTGAGTATTCCCCCACCTGGAGGTCCGAGTGAGTTCTGACTGCAGCTGCTTGCTGAATTACAGACAACACTATAAAAAAAACAAAAAAAAAAAAAAAAAAACATTCACTGTTAAACCAATCAGATTTTAACCTTAAAATGAGCGAGCCAGGTGTTTTCTCGGTTTACCTGAATTCACCAGGAAAATTGTCCTTTTGGCATTTTCCTGGTAGCTCCCTCGGATTTGGTGGGAGAGCTCTTTAGTTAGAAGTACTGCAATAAAGGTCTTCCCTGAGTCCGTGTTCAAGCAGACGATAGTGTTGCGTTCAAGAGCTGCTTCGAGAAGTTCAACCTACAGACAACGAACCAATCGGGTACAAAGGTCATGAATGCTCAACATTAAGCACTTTTAATGCATTTTCAAGGTAGGTTTTTAAAATTTTTCCATCACCATACTTTGGGGATAAAACTAAAAAAAAAAGAGAGTTTCAATTCACTCATTACTGTTAATCTCTCGTGACAGTACTGAGATTCTAAAGCATGTTTTGAAATGACACACTCCATACACACCTGACTGATCAGAGAACAAAACACTAATTTAACAAAAAAAATCCTCCAATTTCAATAATGTTGTTTAACATAAAATCTGGGAAAATGTTTAGTAAAACAGATCAATAAGTCGTTGAGTCATTAGAAATAATTAAACAATCCAAACAAATTACTGTCAATTTAGGTACATTACCATCCTGCTCAAATTAAACACAAATACGACAAAGAAAAAATCTTCTTGCTTAATTTTCTGGTTTTCAACAAAGAAATAATTTTGGTAATTACAACCAACCTAAAACAAGAAAAGTTTGGTCTGATTTAAGTTCAGACATTGAGATAAAAATGTATCTTTATTAGGTGTAAGAAAATATCTGGTTTCAACTGTAAAAAAAAAAAAAAAAACATTTTCCAAATTTAGGCTTTTGATAAAATGTTAGATTGCACTTTATTACAAAACTGAGCAGGTTGAATTCAAAGCACTGGTAAGGACCTTAAACACAAATCAAGCACCTTGAAAACACCTGAATGATATTCAAGCGTTTTCAAGGATTTAAGGCACCCAAACGAAGCCTGGAGTTTCACTGCATTATGGGAAAGTCAGGAAAGAGAAGAGGACTTGCCTGATATTTCCTGGGCGTGTAGATGTTGTCATGGATGGCCTCCTGCTGCCACGGCAGACCAAAAAAGGGCCCCATGGGTGAAGTAGCAGGGGTGACGAGCTGCAGGCCTGCCATGCTTCACTGAGCTGAGCTGGAGGTCAAGGGGCTGCGCTCCTCCAGACGTCCACTTATCTCATTTCATCTTCCCCTCTTGACTGAAGATCACTAACAGGACAGAAGAGGCCACTGATGAAAACCTGAGGAAAGTCTTATTCCGGATTAATCCATACCAGATTAAACATGAAAGATACTCACAGGTAACAGCTGAGTTTATTGACGAGTGGACAACAGTTAATCTGGGCTTCATGGTAACATTTCTGTTCAACTCCTGATTCTCTCCTTCATTTGGGTGGAAACAGACATAACGGAGACACAGTGCAGCATTATCTTTATATATTCCACACACTCACAGGGATACACACACCAGTCACACTCAGCCTGGAGGAAACATTTAGCTCTTGACTAAAGTGATAAGACTGCATGTCCACAGTTTAAAACTTACAGTCTTAGATGGTTTAGAACAATGGTCCAGAGGGCCCACTGCCCTGCACGTTTTAGGCGTTTCCCTGCTGTTGCACACCTTTCGGTTAAATGAACAGGTGATTGCTTCTGCAGCAATTGCAAGAATGCAAAGGAGATGATGCAATCCTATGAATCAGCTGTGCTGGAGTCCAGACTCATCAAAAACATGCAGGACCGCGGTCCCCGAGGACCAGGATTGGGGATAAGAAAAGTATTCATAATATTTTCTGCAGTCTTATTTCCATGAGTGATCATAAAATACTTATATGAAGAGCAGAAACAGCAACATGCTGGTTTTATATCGACTGTTGATTTTTTTTTTAATATGGCACAATAATCCAACTAATATTTAAAAACTGTTCAAGCAAGAAAGTGGCAGAAAGGGAAAAAAATGGTAAAACATGCAGCAAAGATGCTCAGAGCATAGGCTGAACCCAAGAATAAGCTGAGAATATGGGACGCAAGCACTACCACAACACGTCAGTAACATTTGTAAAGTTTTCTATACATGTTAAGTTCAATCAGAATTAAAAACAGTCCAAAACAGTAAAATATAAAAGATAAAACATAGGGTTAGGGTTATTATTAATTAATAGGTCAAGTAATATTCCACATCTGTCCAGATGTTGAAATGATAAATCCAAGTCCCATTCTTTTCAAGACAGTGAAAGATCCAGGTTGACATAACAATGAGTGTTGCCGTCAACCTGGTTCTCCTCAACTGTGGTGTGTTTACTGACCAGAGAAAAAAATCAGACTTTTACATTTTTAGATCAGGCAGTCACTGCTGAAGCAGATTAAGCAGAAGAATCGCCTGATTTCTAACACAAGACAGTGTTTTAATGCATTTCTAGACAGAACAACTCACCTTCAGAACGGGTCATAAGGCAGCAGTCAGACTGAGTCCTGCAGCTCTGTACTAACTGCAAAGAAAAAGAGGAGCAAAAGGTGAGAAGCACAACATTTCAGGTTGTTTCTATAACGAAGACACTAAAGGACCAGATAAAGTTGACTCCATCACTAACCTAAAATCTCTTTGTCATTTTGTTTTAGAAGGTTAGAGCACAGCTGTGTTAGATCGACCTTCTCTCAGGGGTTCTAGCAGCTCGGTCAGAACCAGACTATTTCTGTCCTGTCAATTATTTACAGGCTGTTTTTTATGTAATGATGAGAATCATCAACCAGATTTAATCAGTATTGAACTACGTATACAGTCATAATGTTCTGTTAGTCAAATCGCTGTCTTACAGCGGTCCTAAAGATCTTCACAGTCCTGATGTGTGTAAACATTATTCTGACTCAGTTTGGTTTATTTCTGTATTTTCGTTGACTTATTTCCCAAGTTGAACTAACGACCCATGCATTAACTGCATGGGTCATGCATTAACTAACGACTGCAAAAACAAAAGTTCTACAATTAATAAGTTGGAAAATATCATAAAATTCAGAGCAGACCAGAATCAGAAGACCTGAGTGGTCTGGAAGGTTGCTGCTGAGACATCAAATATTCTTCAGTCGATAGAAGACTGTCTTTGTAACTGTCTTTATGTAACTCTGGAGGCTCATCTCTGAATCCATCAATACACCCAGATTTCAGGCCTTATCTGTAGTTTCTAGTTGTAATAACTGAAGCTGCCAGATGACTAGATCATTCCACTTTGGGTCCAAAGATAATAACTTCAGTTTTGCTTCAGTCCAGCTGGAGAGCGTTACAGCACACTGATTTGTTCTAAGCATCTGTTCAGTCTCCTAATGACATAGTAATGTAGAGCTGTGGTTCACCTGCGTAGTTATGGAAACCAGATGTCCCTGCAAGGATAAGTGGGAATAGACAACAGATAAGCCAAAATTGGACTGTATATGGTGCATCCTGCCTGGAAGGACATTTCCTGTGACCCAATAGGAGGAGCTGAAGAGAGTTGCTTTGATAACTTTACTGGACAAATCTGTGACATAGACACCTGTATGACAGGATATACTGACAACGTGTTGGTTCATTTAGATCTCAATAAACTGGATCAATATGGAGAAAAAGTGCAGAATATTTCTTATCTATATGATGCAATTATTATTATTATTATTATTATCGATCATTAACGGATATGAATGGAACTTGAGTTTCAGTTCCTATTCACCTGGTTTAAGTAATGTGTTTACCTGCTGACGTCACCTGTCAGTGATGAACAGGCAGAAATAAACAGATTTATATCTGTAGGTGAAAGCAGACAGAGCTCAGACTGGCCCGGGATCAGAACCAGGGGGTTCCGCCGAACCTAAAATAACCCTATGAGCCCCCAGCCGGTCTGGGACTTAAACCAGGACTCCCTCGATAAACCGGGAACAGAACCAGGAATCGAACTGGGACCTGCGATAATAGCTTTTAGCCAAAACTGAACCAGAACCCCTCAGCCGAACCTGGTCAAGAATGTTAGCAATGCTAGCAGGTTAAAGATGTTTTTAAACCCGTCTGGTTCTGACTCGGTTCGTATTGGTGTTTTTTTCCCGACTAGACGTGTCTGTGTGACTGGACCAGAAGCAGGGCCTGAGTCCCGCAGCGTGGGGACGGCCCCGCACCGCCACGCTCCTCCATCATCATCATCATCCTCATGTCAGTGGGCTAACGGCTAGCAGGGCCGCTATGTAGCGCAGAATATTCCAGAAACACCGAACAGATACGCAGAAACTCACCCGAGGTGTTAAATCCTTCTGATTGTCCCAAATAAAAACATCTAAACTGGCTCCGTGGAAATCCTCGCTGCCATCCAGGCTCGGTGTCCCGGTTTGTGGCTAGTTGTCCACGGGGGACCACTTCCTTTACCTGGGCCTCTGCTACGCTAAATTATTTACGCTATCTGCGCAGCCGCAGTTGTTCAACCCGAACGCTAACCTACGTAAGTGGACCAGAATAGGCTTTCTGCGTACGGAGCTCACCCGCCTCAGACGGAAACTGCACATTCCAGAGGTGTAGAGAGATTATTTAGGGCCGTGGGAGGCCTTTAAAATACTGAAAATATCTTGGAAAATAACAACAAAGGTTCTTAAAACAACAGTGATTATAAGTAACAGAGATAAAACAAGAGTGACGCAATCAAATTTTTTGCTCCTTTAAAAATGAAGTATTTTGAAAAGTTGTTCTTTTGATTGTATAAACTGTGCTAATTATGTGTGTAAGAACTTTAAAAAAGGACCATAATCGCAAAATAAAATAAGTGGTTTAAATAAAAGTGTTAATAATATTATTATTGCTGTGAAGATGAGCAAATATACACAATTTAAACTATTGTAATTAATATCAGATAATATTTGCAGAAGTAAACAAAAACTATGGAGGTACCATCCATCCATTGAGTATACCCACTTTATCTTGCAAGATTGCCAGGGGCATTGTGCAAGCACAGGTTACACCTTGGACAGGTCACCAGTCCACTGCAGCCAACACAGACACACACAGAGACACACACAATCATACTGTAAGGACAGTTCAGAGAGACCAATAAACCTAACAGTCATCTTGTTGAACTGTGGGACTAAGCTGGTGTAACCTGACACAAATAGAAAGACCGAAGGCTGTGATTTGATGTCAGGGCCCTTTACAGCTCCTCCAAAGTGAACGCTATAGATCTAAATTAAAAACCATAACATCCTAATTAAGATGAGAAGATACATTGTTTAATTTGACAAATTCAAAGAATTTACATTAAAATTGACTCCTGTTGAACAGTTGTCAGCACTGTTCAGTACACAAAAAGTTGTTTTGTGCCATCCTCAATACATATTTTTTTTACAGAGCTTAACGAATTTCTCATATCAGACACTATCACCCTTTAGCATTGTGATTATGGTCTGTGACTGCATCCCAAAGTGGAGGAAGGGCCTAACATTTGTGGGTTGACTTCATCACCTCTCTTGCTAATTGCCACTTATAAAGAACTAGCAAATTATAGATTAAGAGAACGATATAAATGGGGCTTGTCATAATTTTGTACACTCAGTAGTTTTGTTCAATGGTCAGTAGATGGCACCATCAAGCTAAGTAACTTTTATTTTTATTTCAGACAAAAAAGAAACTATAAGCAGTGGACCTCCCATCAGAAAGCAGCCACACCCTTTATTTTAGGGTGATGCGTCATGCTGCTTTATAAATAAAGCTTTTGACACAAACAGCTTCACTAGCGTGTTGTTTTGTTTTACTAAAAACAGAAGAGGAGAGACTCAGTTCTGATATTGCTAGTGTGCACTAAAAACTCTGGAAAATTCTCCTGGAAAATGTTTGCTGGAACTTAAATCGTCTTTGTGATTGAACACTCCATGTATTGCCATATATCAGTCTATATCCATCCTCATTTGTTTTTGTTTAGATGAGTAGATCCTACATGATTCATGTCTACTTTTTCTCTCCCTCAGAAATATCTGACAGCATTAGCAAACACAAGACTTGCTGTTTTCATAAATTCAAAAATATTATCTGCTGACTCTAGCAGGCAAATTCAGTAAATACACCTTGTTACTACTTTGCTACACCACTTTCCATGTTGTAGATCCAACGAGTTCCTTATTGACCAAACAGCATCACAGATTGTTGGACTTCTCATTTCACGTTTTCATTTTGTCTTTTCTCAAAGGCGCTCTGCTGGATTGCAATCTGGTGACTCTGGAAGCTGCTGGATTATAATCAACTCATTCAAGAAACCAGTTTGAAATGATTTGAGCTTTGTGACATAACGCACTACCCTGCTGGAAGAAGCCATCACAAGATGGCTGCATGGCACTTCTAAAGAGGTGTAAATGGTTAGTGACAATATTCAGGTAGTCTGTGGGGTTTCAACCATGTTTGTGTCGGTATTAAAGTATCCCAAGAAATCATTCCTCACACATTATGCTATCAGTATCTTAGTTACTCAGACCAGCTAGTTCTGCACTAACAATGCCCCTAAACCTCATTTCTTCTCCCATTCTGATGTTTACCAAACTATTTTCACCATGTCTAGACACCCAAATAGTTTGAGTTGTTGCCATGTGATTTCTTGATTGAGTAACTGTGTTAGCAAGCAATTGAAATAGCATTTTAACTGCTAGTGTATATTTTTAGTCAATATGCTCTTCTAGTGCTCCACCTCACACCCTTCAAACATTCAGAATGTGCTGCAGACATATGAAAACATTTCAGTGGACCAAAAGAAAAAGGACAAATCTGTTGATATCCATATTAGGGGTTCTTTAATGCATCAGTAACAACCTAATAAGGTAAATAATATACATAAAATATACTCAAATCACTCACACTGACTGGTTTCTGCTGAATTAAAATGCAAATAAAACAGGATATTAAATGCAGAACTTCAGTGATTTTTGACAATTTTACAAAATCCTTACATATATTTCTTATAATAATAATAATAATAATAATAATAATAATAATAATAACAGTGCAACAAACAGCCAGAACATTAAAACCAGTTTGTTTGTGTAACGTTCAGTAGGTCAAACAGTACCAACACAATGGGTCATTGGCTGTGTATGTTGCAGGTCCTGAGGGTTGTTGAGTTCTCTGATCGGATCGGTCTGTTTTGCATTTAATCGTTCCTGAGCAGGAGTCGTGTTGGAGCCGAGTCGTGGGGGATCTGGAAGGATATAAATGTTTGAACCTTCCTCTGACTAGAAGTGTAATATTTCTCCTCCAAGTGGTTCTAATGTTGAGGCTGATTACAGACTTCAGTCAGTAATAAGTGTACAATTAGCACAAAGGTGTGTAAATAGTAAATCCAGAGCAGGCACACAGTAGTGATGAAGACAAACTGTGATGAGCAGCCTCTCTGCTGCCCCCAGTGGACGGAGGAGATGCTGCAGGGAGAAGCTTGATGAGCAGAAGAAGAAAGTTCAGTGTTTGGTGGTGATTTCACACAGAAATGATTAAAATAAAAGAAAAAATAATTGTTCTAAACATCAAAAATCCACCCCCCTATCTTATGATCCACAAACATTCCCACTCAGTCTCCTAAAACACTACATGCTGAATCCTGTTGAAACCAGTGACCTGATGTTCATCTGCTGGTGGAGTTAATGTATCCAACATGATCTTTGGCAGTTTGTTTCTTCAGATTTCCTCGTTACAAAGTGCAGAAAGGCTCCATCAAACTTCACAAACATACAAAAAAACTTGAACTGATCATATACATTTTGCTTCAGTCTTTCATGTGATAGTTAAGTCTTAATGTGTGACAGGAAAGTTTGTCCAAAATGTCCCGACTCACAATAAAGGAGCAGAAACCCTGTGTCCCAGGTTTAATAAACAGGATGCCACTCTGGATCCATCAATGAGGCTGTAATCCAAATCTTTACTTGTATTAAATCAAGATTTTGATTCATTTTCATTTTTCTTATGTGAATAAACTTTTAAATGAATCACATTCCCATTATTCACATTCTGAACATGAGGTAAATTCTAGTTCCTGACTGACAAACTGAGCATGCTCAGACAGTTGTTTGCCGCAGGTCAGACACTGAACCCACACAGCCACAAGGTGTATTACCAAACAGTATTCACACCCCTTCGACTTATTCCAATTTTGTACGATTACAGCCACAAACTTCAGTGCATTTCATTGGGATTCAACATAAGATCGCCCATAATAGTGGAGTATTAGAATTGAAAAAGTGACTTAGACCCAAATTTCAGCCTCTTAATGTGAAAAGCTGGTATAAACCCAAACAACATGCATCCTTAAGTGAAGTGGAAAGAGATTCTGCAAACTATTAACTCAGATAACGGTGACATTTTCAGATTGTTTCTATAAAAACCTTTGAAAGTCGTGTATACTCTTACTTCCAATGCACAATTATGCATGATCTGTGATGCACACACTGAAGTTTATGTTTGTAATGTGACAAAAGATGGAAAATGTTGAGGAGTGTGACTATCTCTAAGACCCTTTAAAATGTTCTCTGGACAAACTGGAACACATTACGGGTTCAGATGTGGGTGAAAAATCATGGCCAACTTTTAACATTCTTTGTCTTCATACATCTTCAGTAATTGTGTTTCATTTACAGATCAGAGATCTGTCAGTGTTACAGCCTCTGATACACACCTGCTTTGATTCAATCTGAAAGCATGATTTATTTCCTGGTTCAAGCTTTGCAAAAACCTTCTAAAACAGGACTTCAAAACCAATTTTATATTTTTTTTCTTAAAGTTTAAGCTTCCTACAAATGCAACAGAAACTTATCACAGTTCGCAGTGTTGTGATTCTGCACATTAGCATGCAGACATAGACCTTCAGAATGAACCAGCTGATCGATCAGCTGCTGGACAAAATGTCACCGTGTCTGTGCAGAGCGTTGCAGAGAACCAGTGGAGAATAAATGATGCTCCCAGGTGGAACATGGGAGAAAAAACCCAAACTTCTGTTAATCTGCACACGTCTGCAGAAGGAGCATTTCAAAACCAAATATGCTGCATCATCAGGCAGCATTATAGTTAAAATACCAGACCTGACTTAGTAATGAAATGAGACTGAAGCAGCAGGATGAATATAGGATGAAAAAATAAAATGATAAAGCAACTATGGATAAAAGAGTTGCAATAATTCATGTTTATGAGACTAAAACAGTCAAAAAAATTACTAACTCAAGTTTAAATTTCTATATCTTACATCAGAAAATGAACATTTAATTGATAAATTATTATTTTTTTTTTTTTGTTGTTTTATTATTTTTTTACAAAATGTTCCTGTGGCGGCATGTTTTCTCGGCAGTTACACAGAAACTTTTCATAATTTCCATAAAATTATTTTTTCTCTCTCTGATGATTAGATCTATGTGAGTGATTAAAATTTAAAGCAGCAGGTTTAGTTATTCTCCCAACTTTATGAATCTGTAAATTTACATTTGTTGACTTCATTGTTTACATAAAAGCAGAACATTTTCTCTTAAAATAACACCATATATATATATATATATATATATATATATATATATATATGTATATTACAATAGTAAATCAAAAACAAAATGAATTCAGTCAGAAAGAAAGAATAAAAAGCCTTCATTTAAGCTGGAGTGCAGTCAGTGATGAAGAGGAGGTGGCAGCTAAGCTCTGACTCAGTGTCAGAATGTTTAATGTGTGTTTTAGTAAGTGTGTGTGTGTGTGTGTGTGTTTATCGGTTGAGCAGCAGGCTCGGCAGCGTCTTCAGGTCCATCTGTGGGAGAACCATGAAGGAGTA